ATGCAACACCCCAGCCAACCACCCAATAGGGCCCTCCCTACCCCCCAGCACAAACCCTTCCTTGCCCCAGCATAATGCCCATCATGAAACCCAAATCCTCCCCCTCCCCTTACCCCAAGTAGCCCCTGTTTTCCCAGCCCCTGGTCTTCTCCCTGCCCCAAGCAGGCCTGAGCAAGACCAAAGCCCTCTATCCCCCACTCCACCTCCCTCCAAACCCCTGTCGACTACACCGCAGGAGGGCGTGCCCTCTCCCCCAAGCAATCCCTGCTCCCTCACCCCCAGGACTTCTTCCTGCCCCAAGCAGGCCTGAGGAAGACCTAAGCCCTCCACCCCCCACTCCACCTCCCCCTGAACCCCTGGCAACTATCTCACAGGAGGAGGAGCCTACCCAAGTAGCAATGACCATAGAACAACCTCCTACACTTGTAGGGAGTGGGGGTGAAATTGGATATAAGAAAGTGAGCTTCAAGGTAATGTACTCAAACATTGATGGGATTACCAATAAAGCAAGTGAATTGGCAGAAAGGGTGAAAGAAGAAAACCCTGATGTAATAGGACTAACGGAAACAAAATTGTCAGGAGTCATAACAGATGCTGTGTTTCCAAAGGACTACTATATAGTAAGGAAAGAGAGGGAAGGGAGAGAAGGTGGTGGAGTGGCCCTGCTGATAAGGAAGGACTGGAGTTTTGATGAGATGGAAATTCCATCTCATCAAACCTAAGATAATAGCGGCAGTCATTTACAACCCTCCCCTAAATGACAGAAGACCTAGACAGGAGTTTGATAGGAACAACATGGCAACCATTAATATAATAGAGAGAGCAGCTTCAGTTGCCTGCAGGAATGGCTCAAGACTCTTAATCATGGGTGATTTCAACCATGGAAAGATAGACTGGGAGAATGGGGACCCACATGGTGGTGCAGATACGTGGCGAGCTAAACTCTTGGAAGTGGCAACAAGGAATTTTCTGAGCCAGCATGTCAAGGAACCCACAAGAGTGTGGGGCAATGATGAACCAGCTAGACTCGACTTGATATTCACCCTGAATGAGTCAGAAATAAGGGAAGTCAAAGTTGAAGCCCCCATAGGAATGAGTGACCAGTGTAAGGACCTCTGAGTACTTGGTGGAGGTAGGGATAACCTATCCAAGGATGGGAGTGGAGGGAAAAAGACTGAATTACCGAAAAGGGAAATATGACGAGATGAGGAACTTCCTCAGGGGAATACCATGGGAAACAGAACTTAGAAAAAAGAATGTGCAGGTCATGATGGATTTTGTCACCCAAAAGTGCCAGGAAGCTGCAAACAGGTTTATCCCTGTCCAAAAGGAGAAAAACGAAAAACAACAGAAAAACCCATGGTTCAACCAGGAATGTAAGGTAGCGAAACAACTGAGTAAAAGAACATGGAGAAACTACAGAAATAACAGAACACCAGAGAGCAGGGAGAGATACCAGAGGGCCAGAAATGAGTACATCAGAGTGAGGAGGGAAGCAGAGAGACAGTTTGAAAATGACATCGCGAGTAAAGCCAAGACCCAACCAAAGCTGCTCCACAACCCTATCAGGAGGAAAACAGCAGTGAAGGAACAAGTGATGAAGCTGCGGAAAGGGGAGAACAGATACAAAGAGAATGACAAGGAGGTGTGTGAAGAACTCAACAAGAGATTCCAGGAGGTCTTCACAATAGAACAAGGAGAAGCCCCTGCACTAAATGAGGAGGCGGCAAACCAAGCAACCTTGGAGGAATTTGACCTCACCAGTGATGAGGTCAAAAGGTGTCTGCTGGAGCTGGATGTGACAAAGGCTGTTGGGCCTGATAGAATCTCACCATGGATACTAAAGGAAGGTGCAGAAGCACTAAGTGTGCCACTCTCTATGGTGTATAACAGGTCACTGGAAACAGGAGACTTACCAGAAAGTTGGAAGACAGCTAACGTGGTCCCAATATACAAAAAGGGTGACAGGCAAGAGGCACTGAATTACAGGCCAGTTTCCTTAACTTGTACACCATGCAAGGTGCTGGAGAAGATCGTGAGGAAAAGGCTCGTAGAGCATCTGGAGGGAAATAACTTTGTAACGCACCACCAACATGGGTTCAGAGATGGTAAATCGTGCCTCACAGGTTTAATAGAATTTTATGACCAGGCAACGAAAATTAGGCAGGAAAGAGAAGGGAGGGCCGACTGCATTTTCCTGGATTGCCAAAAAGCCTTTGACACAGTACCCCATAAAAGGCTGTTAAAAAAGTTGGAGCAACAGGCAGGAGTAAAAGGGAAGGTGCTCCAGTGGATAAGGGAGTACTTAAGCAACAGGAAACAGCGAGTAACGATGAGGGGTAGACATCAGAGTGGCGAGATGTCACCAGCGGAGTCCCACAGGGCTCAGTACTTGGACCCATCCTGTTTCTAATATATGTGAACGATCTTCCAGAGGGTATAGACTCATTCCTCTCGATGTTTGCTGATGATGCAAAAATTATGAGAAGAATCAAGTCGGATGAAGATAGACAGAGACTACAGGATGACCTGGATAAACTGGAGGAATGGTCTAGAAAATGGCTGCTAAAGTTCAACTCGGGAAAGTGTAAGGTGGTGAAATTAAGCGAAGGGAGCAGGAGGCTGAAGACAAGGTATCATCTGGGAGGGGAAATCCTGCAAGAGTCAAATAGAGAGAAGGATCTGGGGGTTGATATCACACCGAACCTGTCCCCAGAGGCCCACATCAAAAGAATATCATCAGCGGCATATGCTAGACTGGCCAACATAAGAACTGCCTTCAGAAACTTGTGTAAGGAATCTTTCAGAACCCTGTGTACCACTAATGTAAGACCAATCATGGAGTATGCAGCTCCAGCCTGGAGTCCATACCTAGTTAAACACAAGACAAAGTTAGAGAAGATTCAGCGGTATGCCACCAGGCTCGTCCCGGAACTGAGAGGATTGAGCTACGAGGAAAGGCTAAAGGAGCTGAACCTCACATCCCTGGAAAACAGAAGAGTAAGGGGAGACATGATAACCACCTACAAAATTCGCAGGGGAATTGACAGGGTGGACAAAGACAAACTCTTCAGCACGGGTGGGACACGAACAAGGGGACACAGGTGGAAACTTAGTACCCAGATGAGCCACAGAGACGTTAGAAAGAATTTTTTCAGTGTCAGAGTAGTTAATAAATGGAACGCACTAGGAAGTGATGTGGTGGAGGCTGACTCCATACACAGTTTCAAATGTAGATATGATAGAGCCCAGTAGGCTCAGGAATCTGTACACCAGTTGATTGACAGTTGAGAGGCGGGGCCAAAGAGCCAAAGCTCAACCCCCGCAAGCACAATTAGGTGAGTACAATTAGGTGAGTACACACACACACGCGCGCTGGAAGAAAGAAGAGTTAGGGGGACATAATCACCACATACAAGATTCTAAAAGGAATTGAGAGGGTAGATAAAGACAGGCTATTTAACACAAAGGGGCACACGCACTAGGGGACACAGGTGGAAATTGAGTGCCCAAATGAGCCACAGACATATTAGAAAGAATTTTTTTAGTGACAGAGTGGTTGACAAATGAAATGCATTAAGCAGTGATATGGTGGAGGCTGACTCCATACACAGTTTCAAGTGTAGGTGTGATAGAGCCCAGTAGGCTCAGGAACCTGTACATCAGTTGATTGACATTTGAGAGGCGGGACCAAAGAGCCAGAGCACAACCCCTGCAAGCACAAATAGGTGAGTGCAAATAGGTGAGTACACACACACACACACAGGGGGGGGGGGCTGGTAGCCTGGTGGATAGCGCGCAGGACTCGTAATTCTGTGGCGCGAGTTCGATTCTCGCACAAGGCAGAAACAAATGGGCAAGGTTTCTTTCACCCTGAATGCCCCTGTTACCTAGCAGTAAATAGGTACTTGGGAGTTAGTCAGCTGTCACGGACTGCGTCCTGGGGTGTGTGGTGGTGTGGAAAAAAAAATAGTTAGTAAACAGTTGATTGACAGTTGAGAGGCGGGCTGAAAGAGCAAAGCTCAACCCCCGCAAACACAACTAGGGGAATACACACACACACTCACACACAAATGCTGTGATGCCACCCAAGACAACACACACTGTGATGCCACCCAAGACAACACACACTGTGATGCCACCCAAGACAACACACTCTGTGATGCCACCCAAGACAACACACACTGTGATGCCACCCAAGACAACACACACTGTGATGCCACCCAAGACAACACACACTGTGATGCCACCCAAGACAACACACACTGTGATGCCACCCAAGACAACACACACTGTGATGCCACCCAAGACAACACACACTGTGATGCCACCCAAGACAACACACACTGTGATGCCACCCAAGACAACACACACTGTGATGCCACCCAAGACAACACTCACTGTGATGCCAGCTAAGACAACACACACTGTGATGCCACCCAAGACAACACTCACTGTGATGCCACCCAAGACAACACTCACTGTGATGCCACCCAAGACAACACACTCTGTGATGCCACCCAAGACAACACACTCCGTGATGCCACCCAAGACAACACACTCTGTGATGCCACCCAAGACAACACACTCTGTGATGCCACCCAAGACAACACACTCCGTGATGCCACCCAAGACAACACACTCTGTGATGCCACCCAAGACAACACACACCACTAAAACTTGCCAGAAAACACTGGAGGAAGCAAAGTTATTTTACACACTGAAAACCCAACTTAGGTAAGATATGTCACAAAGCCACATATGGTAACACACATCAAAGTCACCTAACAGAAGTCACCAAAGCATATTTTAAGCATACAAGTTTAGCTGAAATAAAAATTTGCAGCAATACAATTATCGTGAATGATGCATCCACGAAGTCAAGCTTTACTGAAGATGATCTGGATGTTTTACCTTTAACTACAAACTGTTCTCATCAAGTCATTATAAGTGCAATATTATCGGTGAATATAATACTGCATGAGGCAATGTGCACTTACCATCGGCATGTTGATGTCATCGATGAAGTACACCAGCTTCTTGTTGCCAGGAGGAGCGTAGTTCCTGCCTGCCTTCTTCTCCAACGGCTTCTCCAGCACCCGCTGTAGCAACTCTGCAGCAAACAACAGGGCTCTGGATCAACAGACACGATAGTCGAGTGGCACATTTATGATTCTGGGAACATGTGGATCGATCATAATTGTTGATTTACGGGGCAGAATGAAGAACAGGTACTATATCAAAATATAGTGACTATGAATGCAAGGATCTCACAACAAGTGAATACATGTATCTCTCACAACAAGTGGATACATGTATCTCTCACAACAAGTGGATACATGTATCCACTTGTACAGTAAATGTAAGATGTTTAATGTCAGTTTAAGAGGCATCATAAGTTACCTGAAGTGGTGTAATAGTTGAAGGGGACGTTGCAGACGGAAAACTCCTCCGGAAGAGAGTTCAGTTTCTCGTTCAAGAGCGCTGACTTGCCGCACCCGGAGGACCCCACCAGCATCACCGGGTGACACTTGCTCATCAGCAGGTCGATGAAGAACTTGAGGCGCACCGTCTCGCTTGTGTGGACCATCAACGACTGTGTGTGTGTGTGTGTGTGTGTGTGTGTGTGTGTGTGTGTGTGTGTGTGTGTGTGTGTGTGTGTGTGTGTGTGTGTGTGTGTGTGTGTGTGTGTGTGTGTGAATGTGTATATGTGTATATATTTTGCAGAATTTAAAAATTAGTATATTAGGTGCGTTTGTGGTGTTCATGTAGGAACAAGAGCATTGTTGACGTTAGTGGGAATAGCGTGTGGGTGTGGAGGTAATGGTGGAGGTGTGACAGGGTTGAAGTGTGAGTGGTGATAGGGATAGTGTGGTGGTGTGGCAGTGATGGTGATGTTAGGGTGATTGTGAAGATATTATGAGAGTGGGGAGGACCATGAGATTTAAGTAGTTATGGTAAGGATTGTATGGAGTTTTTGGAGGTAATGGTTAGGATGGGGTTGAGAATTGTTGTGGTGGTGAAGATGTTATTGATGTGTGACGGGAGTTTGGTGGCAACGGTGAGGATACGTTGGTGAAGATGTTTGGTGGATGACAGTAAAAGTTCAGTTGGTGTCAACAGTATAAGTAGTGTTGGTGACAACAGTACGTGTAGAGTTGGTGACAACAGTGCAACAGTACGAGTAGAGTTGGTGACAACAGTATGAGTAGAGTTGGTGACAACAGTATGAGTAGAGTTGGTGACAACAGTATGAGTAGAGTTGGTGACAACAGTATGAGTAGAGTTGGTGACAACAGTATGAGTAGAGTTGGTGACAACAGTATGAGTAGAGTTGGTGACAACAGTATGAGTAGAGTTGGTGACAACAGTGCAACAGTACGAGTAGAGTTGGTGACAACAGTGCAACAGTACGAGTAGAGTTGGTGACAACAGTATGAGTAGAGTTGGTGACAACAGTATGAGTAGAGTTGGTGACAACAGTGCAACAGTACGAGTAGAGTTGGTGACAACAGTGCAACAGTACGAGTAGAGTTGGTGACAACAGTGCAACAGTACGAGTAGAGTTGGTGACAACAGTACGTGTAGAGTTGGTGACAACAGTGCAACAGTACGAGTAGAGTTGGTGACAACAGTACGTGTAGAGTTGGTGACAACAGTATGAGTAGAGTTGGTGACAACAGTATGAGTAGAGTTGGTGACAACAGTACGTGTAGAGTTGGTAACAACAGTACGTGTAGAGTTGGTGACAACAGTACGTGTAGAGTTGGTGACAACAGTACGTGTAGAGTTGGTGACAACAGTACGTGTAGAGTTGGTAACAACAGTATGAGTAGAGTTGGTGACAACAGTACGTGTAGAGTTGGTGACAATAGTATGAGTAGAGTTGGTGACAACAGTACGTGTAGAGTTGGTGACAACAGTACGTGTAGAGTTGGTAACAACAGTATGAGTAGAGTTGGTGACAACAGTACGTGCAGAGTTGGTGACAACAGTACGTGTAGAGTTGGTAACAACAGTATGAGTAGAGTTGGTGACAACAGTACGTGTAGAGTTGGTGACAACAGTACGTGTAGAGTTGGTGACAACAGTATGAGTAGAGTTGGTAACAACAGTATGAGTAGAGTTGGTGACAACAGTACGTGTAGAGTTGGTGACAACAGTACGTGTAGAGTTGGTGACAACAGTACGTGTAGAGTTGGTAACAACAGTATGAGTAGAGTTGGTGACAACAGTACGTGTAGAGTTGGTGACAATAGTATGAGTAGAGTTGGTGACAACAGTACGTGTAGAGTTGGTGACAACAGTACGTGTAGAGTTGGTAACAACAGTATGAGTAGAGTTGGTGACAACAGTACGTGTAGAGTTGGTGACAACAGTACGTGTAGAGTTGGTGACAACAGTATGAGTAGAGTTGGTAACAACAGTATGAGTAGAGTTGGTGACAACAGTACGTGTAGAGTTGGTGACAACAGTACGTGTAGAGTTGGTGACAACAGTACGTGTAGAGTTGGTAACAACAGTATGAGTAGAGTTGGTGACAACAGTACGTGTAGAGTTGGTGACAATAGTACGTGTAGAGTTGGTGACAACAGTACGTGTAGAGTTGGTGACAACAGTACGTGTAGAGTTGGTGACAACAGTACGTGTAGAGTTGGTGACAACAGTACGTGTAGAGTTGGTGACAACAGTACATGTAGAGTTGGTGACAACAGTATGTGTAGAGTTGGTGACAACAGTACGTGTAGAGTTGGTGACAACAGTACGTGTAGAGTTGGTGACAACAGTATGTGTAGAGTTGGTGACAACAGTATGTGTAGAGTTGGTAACAACAGTATGAGTAGAGTTGGTGACAACAGTACATGTAGAGTTGGTAACAACAGTATGAGTAGAGTTGGTGACAACAGTACGTGTAGAGTTGGTGACAACAGTACGTGTAGAGTTGGTGACAACAGTATGAGTAGAGTTGGTAACAACAGTATGAGTAGAGTTGGTGACAACAGTACGTGTAGAGTTGGTGACAACAGTACGTGTAGAGTTGGTGACAACAGTACGTGTAGAGTTGGTAACAACAGTATGAGTAGAGTTGGTGAAAACAGTACGTGTAGAGTTGGTGACAATAGTACGTGTAGAGTTGGTGACAACAGTACGTGTAGAGTTGGTGACAACAGTATGTGTAGAGTTGGTGACAACAGTATGTGTAGAGTTGGTAACAACAGTATGAGTAGAGTTGGTGACAACAGTATGTGTAGAGTTGGTGACAACAGTACGTGTAGAGTTGGTGACAACAGTACGTGTAGAGTTGGTGACAACAGTACGTGTAGAGTCGGTGACAACAGTACGTGTAGAGTTGGTGACAACAGTACGTGTAGAGTTGGTGACAACAGTACATGTAGAGTTGGTGACAACAGTACATGTAGAGTTGGTGACAACAGTATGTGTAGAGTTGGTGACAACAGTACGTGTAGAGTTGGTGACAACAGTATGTGTAGAGTTGGTGACAACAGTACGTGTAGAGTTGGTGACAACAGTACGTGTAGAGTTGGTAGGAAGAGTTGAGTATTTATTAAATAAAATGATAAGATGTATTTTTCGGTATATATGTTGAAGACAAATTAGATGTGATGATTGAGGTGGATGTTCGGGTGAGGTTGTGGTGGAAAGTCCGGCGGCACAGCAACAGTGGTGTTGCAGGTAACAAAAGAGAACTAAATTACACCACTGGAAGTTTGAAGATAATCTCTGCAAAGTGATAATATCTACACTTGCAATACACTGATGGGTATGTACAATGTTGATGGTATTCAGCAGTGAAAGGCACAGATTTAAATGAAGTTCCTTATGGATGGTTAATAGATGACAATCGTTAGTAATGTCTATAAAAACTTTTATAATTTGTAAAACAATGGTTGAGCAAGAAAGACCAGTACCATCAATCAAAAGCCAACGTGGCAGAAATGGAAGCAACATTAGGTGTTCGAACACTCAACAAAACATTGCTTTCATGGCACGGGTCTGAGTAAGTCTTGTGAACTATATGAATGAGCCGTTTCTTGCTGTTTGAAGGCCACTGTTAAAACATTTGCCTGCTGAAGGTGGCTGGGGTAAATGTGACTGAACATAATAAAGGAAAACACAAAGAGACCAGTCACTATGGTACCTTCTTCAGCCTATTGCAGCAGCAGAGCTGACGGTACTCTGAGCATCCAGTACTAGACTGGCAGTACCAGCTTTGATACAATAATGTCAACTGATAAGTTATATTTTAAACGTCTCTGTTTTTATCCTATGGCACACTGGAGAAAATAATTAACAATATTTAAATAGAAAGTTACTTTAGATAAAGTCGAGACATTGTTTAGGGTTTACATATATAAAGGCATTTATGCCGTGATCGTTCCGGAAAATTATATAGGCTTATCGTAGCAGCATGCCTTTGACTGGGTTTCATTATTTCAGTAAGTGGAGGATGTGGGGATAAGGGGCGGTGCTTAATTAAACAGATGCTTTAATTTAAAACTAGCATATGTAGTTAGGACTTTGCCAAGACTTATTAAGCGTGGGGTACATGTTTATTTCTGATATTAATAAGTACTCACGAGTGTTGCATCTATAGTATTAGTCAATATTCACAAAACTCGTAAATTATTAGCTAAACAATGAGAATTTGTCTTAATCCAAGTACTAACCACGAAGACATGTTCTGTATAATCTCTAGATGTTAACTCAAAACTAGAAGTAACGGTTCTGTGCAATGCATGAGAATATTGTACTTGAAACACCACTAAATTGCTTAACAAATTATATAGCTAGCCTTCTATGTGTAATATCATAATTGTCCATAGTAATTTCAATGCAAAATCAATTGAACAACAGGAAGTAAAGTTAGCTGCCATCTAATCGTAAGACATTGCACTGGTAGGGTGTGAGTACTGGTGGTCGCTCCAGGGATCCCACACCACTGGCGACGGGATCACTATATCTGGAACAGCCACCACAGCCTCTACACTGGTAGGGTGTGAGTACTGGTGGTCGCTCCAGGGTTCCCACACCACTGGCGACGGGATCACTATATCTGGAACAGCCACCACAGCCTCTACACTGGTAGGGTGTGAGTACTGGTGGTCGCTCCAGGGATCCCACACCACTGGCGACGGGATCACTATATCTGGAACAGCCACCACAGCCTCTACACTGGTAGGGTGTGAGTACTGGTGGTCGCTCCAGGGATCCCACACCACTGGCGACGGGATCACTATATCTGGAACAGCCACCACAGCCTCTACACTGGTAGGGTGTGAGTACTGGTTGTCGCTCCAGGGATCCCACACCACTGGCGACGGGATCACTATATCTGGAACAGCCACCACAGCCTCTACACTGGTAGGGTGTGAGTACTGGTTGTCGCTCCAGGGTTCCCACACCACTGGCGACGGGATCACTATATCTGGAACAGCCACCACAGCCTCTACACTGGTAGGGTGTGAGTACTGGTGGTCGCTCCAGGGTTCCCACACCACTGGCGACGGGATCACTATATCTGGAACAGCCACCACAGCCTCTACACTGGTAGGGTGTGAGTACTGGTGG